CTGCTACTGCTACCGCTACTACTACTGCTATTGCTACTGCTACGACGACGACGACAACAACGGCCCCGACTACAAGCACTACTAATGCCCCTTAGCTGCCGCACTAACACTACCCCTACCACTAAGCGCTAGCACTGCCACTACCACGAGCTGCTGCTGTCGCCGCCGCTGCCGCGAACGCGTGCCAGCACAACGACGCCCAAGACGGCGAATCCAAAGATGACGAACACACAAACGACGAAGGCTAAAACAACGGCGCACCACCGCCACCCTGAAGCCTCGTTGTCAGGGTGATGGCGGGGCCCACAGAGGAGATCACCAAGATGTTCTGTGCCACAAGGGACGTCTCCTCCAGGCCCGCCTCTGGTGCAACAGACGCCACACAATGGAGAGCAAGACGATGGCCAGAGAAATGCCCCCAGGTGCCTGGAGGATCAAGCCAGGCCCCGCTGGCCTGCGGACCAAGGAGTGCCGCACCTCATCAAGGGACCCTCAGCGCTGGTATTAAGCAGATGCTGGCACCACAAGCTGTGCCACACACTCAGATGATTAGAAGGCAAGACTGGAACAACAAGATAAGTTAACGAATGCCCGAAGCCCTGGCGTCCAAGCTGCGAAGGCTTGTTCTGGCTTGTACAGAGCTTTGAGATTTGCACAGGGCACGCCACCGCTTCCTCGAGCCAATGAAGGGCATTTTCATTTTGGATATCAGACAGATTTGCTCGGCCTGACAGAAGCATCGTCCCTCCGCAGATTATCCAGCAGCCGGCAAGAAGTTATTGTGAGGTTGCTGGACTTCCATGTCTCCAAGCTACAGCACAAGCTTACACAAGCAAACGCTGCCCACAGCAACTTTCAGCGAATTTTGGGTCTCGATTGAGAAGTCCACACTCAAAACCCTAATCCACTCGGCTGAACACCCCGGTCCTGGAGACACGCTGCCGCAGGCGCTGAACGTCAAGCTCTCAAGGCCTCAGGAAAAGAGGGGCGAAGCGAAATGGCTTCGACAGGATGTCTTACTTCTGCTATCTATAACGCTGCACCTACAAGTAAAGAGAGTGCAATACAATACCATGCAATACAATACAATACAACACAACACAATCCAATACCACACTCGGCTTCCGTTTAACGCATGCGTGTCCAGCCTCAGCAAGTTGAGACCTACTTTCACTCCTTGCCTCACCCCGGCCCCAGGACCCGGGCCGCAGGTTCCTCCCGATCGGAGGCAGTTGATGTGAGCACTGTGAGCATCTTCACCTCGGCATGCTGGTACAGTGCCGATGTACCGTTGCCACATGCTGCTCATGGCTGCTGCTGCTGCTGCTGGCGGCGGCCGCGGCGGCGGCGGGAGGGACGGGGGTGATGATGGTGGTGCTGATCGTTCTTGACTCTTAATGGTACAAATCCAAGCTACGTTTTCGGGCATGGAGGGCTCTGCGTGGAAAACAACACAACGGCAACATGCAGCAAAGAAAGATGGTCATGGAAATGTCATGGGAACAAGATAGTAGCCGGACATTCAGATCAATGTAATAACGGCCCCGTGCTACTGTGAATCAGCTTTTCAGGATCTCCTGACAACTCGAAGCCACGCGACAGTTAAACAGGTGAATCGGCATTTACAAATACAAACCAGTCAAACAGCCGCACCGCTGTCATGCCACAAGCACCGCTGAACAGAAATGCAGCTCTCAAAGGACTCGAGGAAGCTGGAACGCATCTTTACTTCGCCATGTTCGTCCCAGTCGCCGTAGAAGTGAGCCCCTGAGCTGGCTGCTGCCACGGTGGCAGCCAAGTCCACCTTGCCCATGAAGGCTTGCTTTGAAGGCTGTCGAAACGAGACGCAAATCAGCTTTGGTTGTGAACCGGGTTCTATGGCCTCCTTCTTCCCGGGAAATCTTGCAGCAAAACCAATGGAAGCTGCTGCGCAGGTACAGTTAATTTCAATAAGTCATCTACGCTGTCTGCATCAATGAGCTAATTTTCCGGCATGCTTTCTTATATCAAACTCCACCGAACATTGTGCGTCATGGACGCAGTCTTGCGATCGTGTGGCCTCTCCGAAATTCAGGATCTCATTCTGCTCAATGCCAGTCAGGCTCCTGCAACTGGAAGTTATGCCGCAACTTCTACCTGCTACTGCTTCCAACGCGGCTCCGTGACCGAGCCTTACCCGTCATCGTAGCGGTCGCGATAGTGCTACCAGCTGTACACCACCACCACCACCACCACCACCAGAACCAATACCACTACCACTACGACCACGACCACGACCACGACTACAACGAGGACGACTACTACTACTGCCACCACGACGGCAAAGGGAGGAATTGTGAGTGCACTTGCCAACATACACACACCGACACACACATACTTACACATGCATGCATGCATGCATTCATGTGTTCATACCTCACAACAAGCATGCTTCTGCCGTGTGCAGAACTCAGAACCACATGCAAAGCAAAAACAGGGACATGCACTCCTTGCTACTTGCAAACTTGCCTACGCTTGCACTCATGAGAACAGGCCGCTGGAACACGACACCAATCGTAACCTGAACCGGAAGTCCAAAGCCCCTGAAACCAAGGCACCTCATGCCACCCTCACGGTCAGCCAGAAGAGGCGTTTGCAGCCTTAGCCAGAAGTCCCACAGAGGTCCTGAAGGAGGTGTCGATCTTAGGGATCCGGGAGCGAGCCCAGGGGTCTGCTATGGCAATAGGCCTAGGCCAGCCATGAAGCCCTGCACAAAACCTGCTATGTGACCGAGGTGCAGGAGCATGCGCCCATCGTCCTCCAAGGCCGAAACGACCTGTTGCGAAACGAGGGCGCATTGCAGCCCCGACAGGTTATTGGAAGCAGCATTCCTGACAAGAAGAAAACACCCACTCGGCAGAAGCAAGAATCCCGTGACCCTCTGACGACACTTGTGCAAGTGGTTCTCTACGTATCACCCGAACATTCGCAACGGCTGAATGGATAACTGGTTTATTCCTGTCACGGTATCTTAGTTTCTGGTCGTGGGGTCTTTGAAGCTGCCCCATTCCGACTTGTCATGGATCACCTCAGATCTGTAGTGGATGGGCACGATCCTCTGAGGCGCGTACATGCTCCTCTACAGGTGCCCTAGCGCCCCCCATAACCAGGACGTGCTCTCCGGGCACCACGTCGATGGCAGAGTCAAGTCTGAGCACCTGGCGAAAGCGATTTTCCTCCCGTGCATGGCACATCTTGCAGAGCGTGCTATTCTTCAATCTCCCTCCAGTCAGCCCATGGTAAGCCCTGTCGTTGTGCTCTGTCTCTCTCTTCTTCCAGTGGGCATAGGAGATCTGCTAAATCCCCGACCACCAAGGCCCCCCCACATGTTCCAGGGAGAGAGAGAGAGAGAGAGAGAGAGAGAGAGAGAGATAGAGAGCGGGAGAGAGAGAGAGAGANNGAGAGAGAGAGAGAGAGCGGGAGTCATTATGTCTGCAAGCCCCCCAATGCTGGTAGCCATAGGGGCCCGGAGATGAGTCCGGGACACAGGATACGGTTACTTAGTGTTTAGGGGCTTGCAACATGGAACACAACAGCAATGCAGCAGTCAGACGGGACCCCCATGCCAACCACTTAACAACACATTGGGTGGTTGGGCGGGCCA